CTCCTAAATGTCGAGGGAGACGCAGCATTTACTTGTTTTGTTATTCCTTTAGCTACACCAAAACTTTCCTTTGAAAATAAGAAAACTGGGACTCTTTTTAAGTAAACTCATATTCTGATCCAAAATGGCACTATTTTGACAAGAGTGAGTTCTCAGCATACAAATAAGAAGTAGAGACTCATAAATGTCGAAGGAGACGCATCATTTACTTGTATTCTTATTCCTTTAGCTACACCAAAACTCCCCTTTGAAAATCAGAAAACTGGGACTCTTTCTGAGAGAAGTCATATTTGTTAATCAAGGGAGATCTATCAAGTCAATCCGTACAATTCATACAAGATCATCTTCTAAACTTGGGTTTACTTCTACAGCAAGCAAGAAGATGTCTTTCCCTCCAAGTCTCTCTTCTTGTGACCGTTTGAAGATAAAGGAAGAAGAGTCTCTCTCCTTATCCTCTTTATGACCGTTGTACATAAGGACAAAAGCTGCTTTTGCTTTTCTCTTTTACTTTTTCCCTTATTTGGAGAATAGCCTAGGAATCTCTTTAGTATATTCTTTCTGCTTTTACTTTAAATATCTGTATACAGCTGTAATTGCTTACTAAGAAATGAGAATCATCTGTTTCTCACCATTCTCTCCACTCTTCATCGTGTTCTTCATTCAAACTCTCTTAATCTCTCTTAATCTTATCTTAATCCGCTGTTAATCTTTACATTCTCTCATGGTATCAGAGCCAGGTTGCGAGATCTGGTGATTAATCTTGCTTATTCTCATCTCTTATTCTCTTATTCTCATCTATTCCATCCCCTCAAATCTTCGTGTTCATACTCAAACCCAGATTCATCCGTACAAACCTCTTTTCTTTTGAAATACTCGATCTTTGTTCTTCCTTTTCTCATCTCTGCGAGTGTTAATGGAAGGAAACAAGGTTCCTGTTTTACCTGTGGTGCTCAAAGGAGCTGATAACTATCTGCTTTGGGCAAGAACTGCCAAAGCTGTGTTGTGTGGAAGAAACCTTTGGTATCATGTTGAAGATCCAAAGGATGTTAAAGGCAAGACCAAAGATGGAGGAAAGGAGATGCCTTTGAAAGATTCTGTGGAATGGTTCCAAGAGGATCAAACGGTGCTTGCTATCCTTCATGGAGCTCTAGATCTGTCGGTGCTTGAGTCCTACTCCTATTGTGAGAGTGCAAAGGAGCTTTGGGAAACCCTGAAGAATGTGTTTGGGAACACATGTAATCTCACAAGGGTATTTGAGGTCAAAAAGGCGATTAACTGTCTTCACCAAGGAGATCTGGACTTCAATACCTTCTTTGGGAAGTTTAGGTCTCTATGGGCAGAGCTGGAGATGCTCAGGCCTGCTACTGTTGATGCTGAGGTTCTAAATGAAAGGAGAGAGCAAGACAAGGTCTTTGCTCTTCTAATGGTGTTGAATCCAGCTTTTAACGATCTCATCAAGCATCTTCTTAGAGCTACAAAACTACCAAGCCTGGAGGAAGTCTGTTCTCAGATCCAGAAGGAACAAGGGTCTTTGGGTCTCTTCGGCAATAAAGGAAGCGACTTGGTGATGGCCAACAAAGGTGAAGCTGCAGTAGCCAACAAAGGAGCCTATGGTGGTGAGGACCGTGAGGTTTGGGTGTGTGAGCATTGTAAAAGGAAGGGTCACCTGAAGAGCAAGTGCTGGATCCTGTATCCACATCTCAAGCAAAGCCGCAGCAAAGACCAGAGAAAGCCAAGGGCGAATGAAGCTCATGCTCAGGAGGAGGCTGGCCCCTCAGACCGTGAGAAGGAAGGGGTTGCTATGAGGGCCTCAGCTGAATATGTGAAGAAATCAGACCTGGATGCTCTCATCAAGGCTCTTAAAGAGTCTGGTAAACCGATTAAAGCCTTTAGCTTTCATGCATTACATGATCATATCTTGACTAATCATACTGCTAATACTGTTGTGGATGATCATTCTTTAGAAATTCATACTGCAAATCATGTCTTGAAAAGTGATAAACCGCTTATTGTTGACTCTGGAGCTAGCCATCATATGATTAGTGATGCTAAATTGATTAGTAACATGAAACCTACATTAGGAAATGTGATTATTGCAAATGGTGAAAAAGTTAAGATAGAAGGCATTGGTGATCTTAAGCTGTTTGATAAACAATCTAAAGCATTTTACATGCCCTCATTCACATCTAACCTCTTGTCTATTAAGAAAGCAACTACTGATTTAAACTGTTATGCTATATTCAGTCCTAATGAGGTTTTCTTTCAGGATATTAAGTCAAGTAAGCTTCTTGGACAAGGAACAGTGGGCTTTATGTTCTTGAAGACACTAAGCCATCTTCTCTATCTAATGCTTTTGTTTTTAGTTCTGTTGTTGAAAATAATGCATTGTGGCATGCTAGATTGGGTCATCCCCATCATAGGTCTTTGAATCTGATGTTACCTGATGTTAAGTTTGATAATAATGCTTGTGAAGCTTGTATCTTGGGTAAACATTGTAGAACTGTCTTTCCTAAATCATCTACTATTTATGAAAATTGCTTTGATTTAGTTCACTCTGATGTATGGACCTCTCCATGTATGTCTAGAGAAAGTCACAAATACTTTGTTACCTTTATTGATGAGAAATCTAAATATACTTGGATCACTTTGTTACCATCTAAAGATAGGGTGCTAGAGGCCTTTATGAATTTTCAAAAATATGTGACTAACCATTATAATGCTAAGATCAAAGTGTTTAGGTCAGATAATGGAGGAGAATACACAAGCCAAGCCTTTAGGCATCACCTTAACCAACACGGAATTGTCCATCAAACAAGCTGTCCTTATACCCCTCAGCAAAATGGAGTTGCTGAGAGGAAGAACAGGCATCTTATGGAGGTGGCCAGGTCCTTGATGTTTCATAGGAATGTTCCTAAGAGGTTTTGGGGAGATGCTGTAGTCACAGCCTGTTATCTTATCAATAGGCTCCCTACAAGGATCCTCCAAGATGCTTCCCCATTTGAGGTATTAAACAAGTCTAAGCCATCGATTTGATTACCTAAAAGTATTTGGTTGTGTTTGCTTTGTATTAGTTCCAGGGAGAACAAAGGAACAAGCTTGAGGCTAGAAGTACAAAAGGGGATGTTCATTGGCTATTCTATTAACCAGAAGGGCTACAATGTTACATTCCTGAGACTAGAGGTTCTAGTGGTCAGAGATGTGA